TATGTCACAGGACTGAAGAGACCTGTTCTCTTTGTTCTGTGGCATGATAGGGGATTCAGATGGAATTTGCAGTGGTTTTGACCAGGGATTGGTTCTTAATGCAGGTGTTGGGCAAGAAGACAGGGAGCTTTTTCTCCTGCTGACTTTCTGGTTTTGTATGTTTGATTTTTTTTCTGAAGTTGTGGAATACACAATCCAGATGCACACAGGAGACTTGAAGAAAGCAGATGTCACTGGTGAGGCCTATCTTTGTGTACAAGGAGAGAAGAGCGACTCAGGGAAACGATGGCTTAACTCGAGGAACAGCCTGGTCACTTTTGCTAGAGGGCAGGTAAAACAATCAGGAAAATATAACTGAATCTGTGAGCATCTTTTTGTTAAAAGTTACATTTACATCAAGCCTTTCATGAACTGAGTATCAAAAATTGTGATTGCATCCATGCTTTTAACCATCATAAGCATTGCACAAAAGTGAAACATCTAAGTTGATTATGTAATTTTGAGTTGGACTAAATATATTCTAAAGGTTCTATTTTACTATTCCAGATTTTAAGGCCAGGAAGGCATCAGTGCTTTGTTAAAATATGTCAGACTGATAGAACTGATAACATTTCTGTGGGACATCTTGCCTTTGTACCTACTTTAGACCATGATCTTTTCTTGCTAACTTTCCTGAACACTAATGTCAGTGTTAGAAGAAGAGCTGTATTTTTTCATGTTTCCACTTCTTCCACCCACTTGCTGTTTTTAAACATGGTAAACATATTCTTGCTTTTACAGACTTAAAGAGCTTTTCCTAGAACAGTAATTCCTGGAGTAGTTGTTGGCATAAGAACAAAGTAACCCAAACAAATTTCACATCAAAAGGAAACACCTAGTTCATATCAAAAGGAAATGTATACCTGATACTTTACTAGACTGTACTGTTTGCTCTGAGCTTAGCTTTGGAAGATTTTTTTAGTTTTTCCTTTAGGGGAATCATAAAATCATTGCACAGCAGATAGGAATCTTCTTTTGGGGAGCGCAGGAGGGAATATTTCATTATAGCCAGCCAATCCAAATCAGTTTGTTCTCTGATGCAGAAAACTAGAGAAATCTGCTGGAAACACGCTTAATCTAGTCTTTAAACATGCCTCCATTTATTTTATCTGCTTTTAACTCCTAAATATTCTGGAAGACACAATGGTTTTTGTGTGAAAACCAAACAAAATACTTACTAGTCATTAATTCCTTTATATTCTTGTAATTTCTTTCTCCATTGTGGAAAAGAATACGTGTACCCAATGTCATGTTTACCAAGAACTGATCCAATGGCTACCTTGTACTTCACGAAATAAATCCGAAAATAATAGTGACAGGACAGTAGGGCCCATCTGTCTTCAAGGAGTAGCAGAGGAAATTTTATAAGTTAATCTCTTTGGTGTTATAGATAGGAGTTATATATCTTGAAGATAATACCTTAGAGAAATGTGGACAGCAAGACTGCTTGCTACAACGGGTAACGTTAGCAGCACAGACTGTAAGAGGGACTGATTCCAGTTTCTTTCAAAAAACTGAACTGTCTTGAGCTTTTTTTTTCTTTGTTTTGTAAGAATTTATGTTATATTTTCTTTAGTGGCTCTAAAGGGCTTTTCTACATTCTGGGCTATAGCATCCTAATCTTATAGAAACTTTTTTGAGTAACAACTCATTTAGGTATTCATTCTCTCACAGTTTTCTTTATTTCAACTTGCCTTCAAATGCCTAATTCTCTGTTCTTAGCCTTTGCTCTTTTTTTCTAGATTATTCTTGTGATCAGTATGGTTCTCACAGGTAGCAAGAATTTTTAATGTCATTGTACTTAGCAGGAACAACACAATGGTTTTATAGGTTTTTTTCCAAACCCCCAAATCAGTCCCCATCTTTTGTCTTCAAAATGCATTTACAGCTCAATCTTTCCAAGACAAATGCTTCTGTCTACAACAGGATTCCTCATGAAGCCACAGGAAATAAAATAGTCTTAATGTTGGGGATTTTATTTCACAGCTCATTTCCCAAAAGAGTTGGCAAAATCCATGAATGAATGGATTGAATGGATTCCAGACCTCAGGCCCAATTCAAAAAAGACAAGTAGTATGCAGTTTAAGCTGTCTGTGTCCCTAGTGTCAGTGTGCATATTTATGTGAGCTGCACCATTGATAATGAAGGAAGATGACTGTGCAAAGAAGACAAACATGTATATGCAAGAAGATATACATACTACAAAGATTTTTCAGTAGGGGAAAATGGGAAGATTCCATGAGTTCTACTTGTCAGGCAAGTCAGTTGTACGTGGAAAATCTGACCTACTATAGAGATTAGTTCAATGAAAAATCCTCATCTCCGTAGCAAAGTGCTACCCAGATACTATTCACTTCATTCCTATTTACCTGAAATGGCTTCAGATTTTCAGTTATTAGACACCTAATTTTCATCAGTCTCATTGAGGTTCTGGATCACAGCATGTTTCAACACAACTAACAATTAATCTGTTTTGGTTATTTCAGTCTATGCAGGTATTAGAAATGAGCACTTTAGTGCTAGTGTCTGTGTCTGATGGTTCCAAAATTGCTTCCTATTAAATAGAACACCATTTCAAAATTAATAATATTAACTGGATCAGAAAATATCAGTTACAGCACATAATGTTTAATTATGAACTCAAAGGCAATGGAATGGTTTAAACAAGATAATTTTTCTTCCATTGAGATACAAGGAAATCACCAGGCACAAAAGGATAAACTGATAAATATTCAAAAGCAGATACATATTAAGTTTAACCAAAATATTTTTTTATAATTTTCATATTGCAGGTGGGTGTTTTCAAAATCAAAGCAGTATACCTTGGCAAGTTGAACGAAGTTCTTGTTGGATTTAAGAGTATAAAAAAAGGTCAGCCTTTTTTTTTCAGTTAATATATGGTAACGATACTGTAGGTTATGAGATTTCTGTGATCCTAGAACTTCAGAAATATCTTAAATTTAACATTAAAAATCACAAGTGTTTTTTTAAAAGTTCTAGAAAATTTGAAATTGCTCTCCATTTTTTGCTGTTTTTTCTGTTGCACTCTACACATGAAGTACCCAGCCTGGTTTTACTAAAATCTGCAAATATGCATTTATGAGTACAGTGAACAAAGCTTTTCTTATTCAAGAAACAATATGACATCATGCATTTGCAATTTTTGAAATTTTCTTCTTCCTCTCCTTTTTTAGATGATGAACATTTTCACTTCAAAAGATAATTTGTTTTTCAGGACTAAGACTAGGAAGTGAAACATGGAAGAAAAGCTGTTCTGGCCTCAGCATTTTTCTTCTTACCCATGAGAAATATATTCTTTTTTAAGAGATCTCTATACATGAGTTTGAGTGGCAGATGAAAAGACTGCAATTCCTGCAGCATTTTTTTTCTTGTCCGTCTTCCAATTCCATAGCACCCATTGGAGATAAAGAAAGTAGCTTACTTCTTGAAAACAAATAGCAACAGTGAGGAACATCATCAATTAATTTTTTTCTTCAATACTTTGGCTACAATTTTGGCCCATTGTTTTTTAGCAGCAATAAAACAGAGATTCTACAGTGTCCTGCTTTCACAGGAACAGAATCACAGGCCAGCCATAAAGGATAGGCTGTTAGTAGCCCTGAGTCAGCTGGGAACTTAAATCAGGGCAGCTGCCCTAGGCTGTCTGACAGGGGTATCCACTTATCTCAGGCTCATTATAAAGTGGGAGGTGTTCTGAGGAGTTCCTGTTTCTGGAATTTCTTCCCCTCAGCCTTCTGCTTCTTCTGCCACTCCTGAGGGCTCGACAGTACAAGCTTATACAATCTATGTTGGTATTTGTATTAATTTTGTTATGTTGGTAATTCTGCTTTAATTTCAACTCAAAGTGCTTCTCTCCTGATTTCCCTTCTTGCCTGGAGAGGGAGGGAACATTAAGTGATAGAAAAACGGCTACAGTTTAACCCTGGACATGGGGAAAATTTTAACATATATATATGCACATATATATATCTTACTTCTGCAGATAATGTTGATAATGGAGATAAGATTGCTCCAGAGCACAATAAGCTGTCTCTTGTTGGTTTATTTTTACCAAGAAACAGGACTATAAAATGACTCTGGGGGTTAAACTCAGACTCAGAAAAACTGATTCAGAGACTCTTTTTCCATGTGTTTCCTAGAAAGTAACATTAAAAAGAATGATCAAAGAATCATCATTGACCTCCCCAATATGCAGCCAGTGTATTTTCAAGAGTCTTAATTTCCTGAAGTGTGGCAAAAGAAAACAGTTTATTGATTTTCTAAAGATAGAAACTTATAACTGCATACATAGACATCTTGTTGCTTAAAAGGTATAAATTAATTATGTCCCGTTTATTTTCAATCAGATGAGTGGTTCTTAGAAAAAATTGTTGTAAAAGAAGTCCTCTACCCTTTTTCTGAATATGTGTTTGTTCACAACGACTGGATCAATAAACGCTCCAAGAAAGATTTTGTAGAAGTGGCAATTCCGCTCAAAGGTAACATCAGCAGAAATGTCCCTCATTTGCATCAATCAGTGCTGCATGGCAGTGCAGAACAGAGCCAGTACAAGGTTCCTTCACAATGTAGGCAGAACTGAGAATTACTATCCCAATGGTTAGGGGCAGGGGCCTGGACCAAGGTGAATCATGCCATTTGTAAACAAGGAGGAAGAGATTATGCCTGGGACGGAGAAGATGGAGATTACAGTATTGGAAGAGTCTCCTCTGGCAGCCCATATCTTGTCTGTGGAACAATACAGAGAAGACAGGTGTGGCCCCTTTATGAGTGTGACATGGATTAATGAAGCAACAGACCTAGCTTTCTACACCTCCACAGGGCTAAAAAGAGTAATGAGGGTTTTGTGGCTTTGTTGCCTGACTTGCCTATACTACATCTGGCACTACTAGGCAATAAAATCCTGCATCTTTTGGCTTATACTGCCTTGAAACTTTAACATGGGCTCTGTATATATGTTTATTTGCATTGCAGAAACATCTGTGACATCTCTTCTCACAAAAAATGTTGATACTAAAAGCAGAGGACGATGGCAAACATGGGTGCATTGTACACAAGTACCTGAAGATGTTCCTGATATTCAGGTTGTTGTATTTGGAAGAAAAGGGAAATCTCCTGCACAGAAAATTCAGAATCTGAATGATAATCCATTTTTGGTTGGTTTCTTTTTTATTTCCCACAAAATCTTACCAAATATTTTCAGTAAAGTAAGAATCGTAGCCAACATGTTACGTCATGTGGAATATGTTTTTGTTTGTCAGAGTTAGTGTTTATTTCTCCATGTCTTAAATAAACAGCACTTGGAGAACTTCTCACACGTGGGCTAATACATATCACTTCTGAAAGCTCTCTTGAGCAAGTGCCAACTTTGACATGAAAAGCCTCATTAACTTTGAATTAAGACTAGTAGGCCTTAGCAGAAAGGCAATAAATAATTAAGCCATTCCATACTTCCTTTCTTCTCAAATCTAAACTAATCTGTCTTCACTACCTAAAAGCTGAGCTTGGGTCTGGGCAAATATCAATTCTGTAATTTGCACACAAAGTTATGGCAACTTCTGGACAGGTGTGTGAACCTGGGTCAGTCCTTTCAAGAGGCTTTTCTTCTTGCACATCATTACCTGTCTTTTGCAAAAAGGCAATATAAGCATCTCTTGCTTAGCTACTGCAAGATGAAAAGCAGTGTATGATATGATGTATGGAAAGCATCATCCTTTCTTTTGAGCACTAGAATAACTGAGAACAGAACCAATAGCCAGGGTAAAAATCATCTTGGGTTAATAATTTAAATTTAAGTTTGAGAATAAGACTGGGATGAAGAGGAGGCAAATAGGAAAATGAAAAGAAAAAAATAATAATATGATTTGACTTGGAAATGTAGAATCAGTCATGCATTTCCTGCTCCCAGTTAAATATAAACATAAGTTATGATACAAATATGAGTCCACATGAACTTGCAATATTAATGGGACTTCCTCACCATAACATGAATGACCTTGAATTGTATTTTATCTTTTTACCTGGGCTTAAAGTATGTAATCCAACTTGTTACATGCAATGTATGTTAATGGTTTTTCTTTATTTTTCTAACAGTTGATTGTTGGTGATATTGGAGATATAACAAAAGTTTCCTTTGTGTTATCTGGTCCATGCTTAGGAAGAGGAATTAAGCTTCATAAGGTATTCCAAATACACTCTATATAGACTTATAATTTTCTTCATAATACCAGTTGAGAGGGAAGTGGTAGATTCCCCCACATTGGACAGTTTTAAGGCTCATCTTGACAGGATGCTGAGCCATCTCGTATAAACTGTAGCTGTACCTAGAAAGGTTGGACTAGATGATCCTTGAGGTCCCTTCCAACCTGACAATCTGTGATTCTATGACTCTATGATTGTTAGCTTCACTTTGCACCACACTAGCAATGCTACACATCTTTGGCTCAGTTGCTTGGTATCTGTAGATGATTGTTTACAGCTTCCTGATCTCTCTGTGGGTACATCTACCCTCTTTGTAGATGCCGAAGTGCATGTAGCTGTACCTATTCACTGATATGCAGATCCATTCTGCATAGCTCATCAGGACATGGAAGGCAGTGTATTCTGCTGATGTTAGGAAATGTTAATCACTGCATGGAAATACTGACAGTCTCCTGACACAGAACAACCTACTTCTGGAAACCAATTAAGCAGATACTTTAGTATTTATTCGTTGCAACCTGGTCACCGGTGGGCCTTAAACATCTTACTGTAGTTTAAAATGTACTTAAGATCTCTCATAAAAAGGGATGGAGAAATGATTTAATGCTGCCAAACTTATGATTCAACAAGATTTTGAATGTATACCTTTCCTCAAGGTGAGTAGGAAGACTGAATGAAAGGTGTTGGGCCTGATAGTACTTGGGCTTTGGGGAAACACTTAAGCTTCAAGGTCAATGCAAAGAAAAACTATGCCAATGAACTCTGCCTGTAGACAAGGGCCCAAAAGCATTGTGGACATAGCACTGAACTGTTCTGAAATCACTAAAAGAAAGTTATTCTTAACTGGGCCACACAGTGCCTTAACCCTATAATGGTTTTAAAAGATCAAAGTGTGATTCCCTAAATGAGTCAGCAGTCCAGAAATGGTTCTGATGGGAAATGTTAGACAGCTCTATTCCAGACTAAAATTCGATTGAGTTTATGGCACTCAAAGGAAGATTGAGTTTATGAGCTCCTCTGAGGATGGAGGAGTACTTTATCTTGTTCATAATTTCTCCCCAAGTTTTTATTTGTCAGCTAATTTTGTAGTCCAGTTTAGGATACAAGAATTGAAAAAATAGATAGGAAAAATTAATTTTTAAAAAGTAATTTTAAATAAATTAAATACGCATCTCCAGGCATTAAAAAAAAATATGTTGACACTACCCTCAGTATACCCATTGTATGATTATATTAAGTAGGATTTCAGCCTCCAGAACTGGTGGCTCAAAACACGGCAGGAAATTGTAATAGTTTGCTTTCTGCTTTCTTTTCAAAGACAACTCTGCAAATAGCTGAGTGATTTTTGTTCACACTTTTAAATACTTCAGAAGTCATTTACTACTTGGTTTATTAGTAGCTATACATTGTTACAATCTACAAGAAGTCAATAGGTTGCTATAGATCTGCACAGTCTCTTCTACTCGTGCACTTAAAACCCGCAACATAAACCACAATAACATATAGTTTTTGTGCCAGTAATATGCTTATAACATCTGTTACTCATTTCTTAGTCTGTTTATAAATTATTTATACATGGAAGCATAATCTAAAATGTAACAACTTGGTTTCGCTTTCATGTGACTTTTGCAATGAGGTAAAAAATAGAGATGCTGGATAGAAATAGAAAGAGTACAAGAGGCAGCCAGTAGGTGCAAGCTCACTGTGAATCAGTGGCCAAACCCAGTCCCAATTTAAAAGAATTTCCTTCCTTCTCCGTAAGTGAAAGAAGTAATAGCCAAAGTTTCTGAAATTTCACCATTACAGATGAAACTGCAAAGGCTAAAAAGGAGATAAAATCCCTACATTCCTTTTTCTACTCTCTGTTCTCTCTACTCTGGTGTTTACAGCAGCTCCAAAATACCAGAATTTTTCCTGCTATCTCCTATGGTTTTCTGTACACTTCTGTAGCAAATGATAAAAACTTTGCTAAAATGTGTGTCTTTTCTGTAACTTTTGAAGATTTATGTACTCTAGGATAAGTAGCTTTTTCTTGCTAAAAAATAGTTTCTGGCCCTTTCCAAAACAAAATAAAACTATTTTTACTTTCAAATAGAATATAGAAACACTCTATGATCTGGAGATAAAGTTCACACTTAGATGTAAGCTTGCAACTAACAAGAATTTGTCAGGTACATTTTATTTTAAGTCCAAAGACTGCATAAATTTACACATCTTTTTGAGTCCAGTTTCTGCAGATCATCTGCCTGCATATGCAGGTAACCTTAGTCCAATTTTAATATGGATAGGAGTTTGTGCTATTTTTTGATATTTAGTCAAAGATGCATACACTGATAGATGTTAGGAAGGAGATTTTTGTGGAGACATTATACACAGACTGTGAGAAGATTCAGTTATTGCAAAAAATTGGCAAACAAGTGGCTGCAACTGCTTATTCAAGTAATTAATGATTTTATTCTGGAAATGGTGATTTACTTTTATTTGGGAGCTTGGTGCCTGATCTTGTGAAGTGCTGGGCACAAAGCATAAGTAGGAATGGCAAATGTTTAGTAATTACATTTCTAGGTACTCAAGGACAACAGCATCTGGCAATATTTTTAGGAGTGGAACTGTCAAATTCCTCAAAAATTAAATTATATAATTCAATTATTTAAATACTTATGCATTACAGAGCCTGCACTTGAAGTCTATGTAAGGAAATCTGTACTAAGGATTTCCAAACAGTGGTACCAACAAACTTGTTGCTGCTGCTGTTGTCAGTAGTGCTAAAAAGTCATCACAGTATTTTTGGGAATCCCTGCCTAAGAATTTCAATTACTTGATGTCTTGATTAATTTTTTGTTTAATTTTGATTTGGTTTTAATGTCTTGGATAGAATGTTTCTATACTAACAGATTCTAAAGGCTGAAGAAACCATTTCTACAAACTCTTAGTCATTGAGTTATGTATCAAGTTAAATGCTGCACATAAGTTAGCAGAAACAATTCTGCATATACTTGATAGTTTCTCATTCTGTATTTTATGCCTGAACTAAATTAATTTCACCATCTGAGTTGCGCTCCTATGAATCTGATCTCCGTATTGACTGTCTCACTTGCTGGGTTAGGTGGGCTCCCAACACCATGCTTCCTTAGTTGGTTTGGAGGTTCTAAGTTCCCAAATCTGGAACCTAATTTGTTCAGCCTCCACTGAATATTTAAAGTGAGGTGGAAGGAAGCTGGACCTAAGATCACACCTTCTATTGGAATTCATTGTTCAAATAACTTATTTTCATAGGGAGTAATGAAGGCCACTGCACCTCTAATTACTGCCAATTTCAAAAATCCTATCTGAAATATAGCAAGTCACATGTAAACAAATAAAAATCAGGAAAACAAACATTTTTACAAAATAGACATATACTATTGAGTATGATGTAACTGCATTCATTTGCCATTCTGGAATTTCAAGTGTATGCAGGTGTTTTTAATCTGTATCCTTCATTGGTTCCTTACAAATGGGTCCTATGTCTGTGTCATTATGCAATGAAGAATATGCCTATAAACATCAGCCTGCAGAATCAGTGGCTTGCAGCAAATACTGGAGCTCTTGTTATGCAGAACCAGGTAGCTTCATAAAGTGTGTGTAGGCATTAACAATGGAAAGAAATGTCAGCTTCTGTTGGGAAGGAAATAAGAAATGAAATAATTCAGATAAATTAATATCTTCTTCTGCTTCTGCCTACAGCTTCGGCTACAAGATATGGACACTAAACAAGAGCTGGGCTTTCACACTGAAGCCCAATGTCTGTTTGGAGAAGACGGATCTGAGACTGTAACAGAGCTAGCAGCAGTCAAGCCAGACAAGCCACCCCTCAGGGGTATGCCATGGAACTGAAAAAAATAAGTACATGAGCAAATGCACACACACACAAAACTGTGAACTGCCTAATGGGATGGACACAAGGGACACAATTGTAAAGCATTTTCTATATATTGAAAAAACACTCAAAATTATTTGTAAAGGTTCATTCACTATGCCTGAGTGAAGTCTGCAGGATCTTTAATAACGTGTATTGTTCACACAGTGTTTTCTGGTTTAAGGCAACTGACGTGTTTTTTTTTCCACTAGGCCAACTACCGATTTGAAAGTCTGAAAAATGCTCAAAGCCCAATTAGTATTATATCACAAAAAGAAAAAACGTTAATCTTCTTTTAGGTTTTCTTTAAGCTCCATTTCTTCTCCAGTAGCTCTCTTTCATTTCATTATTGTATTTCAAATATGATAGTATCTTCCTTTGTTCTGATTACATTTTATAAAATATTTAGAAAAGAACTTTCATTCATTCTATGCTACGAACAGAAGTCTTAGTTAAAATATTTAAAACTTTTGCATTTCATGTCTAACTGAAGGCTAGACTGCAAGTGGAAATACATCTTAACAGCCTGTTATAACATTTCGCTCTTCACAGAGCTTACAGAACCCATAAAAAAAAAAATCCTCTGACATGCTGCCTCAAGAAATATGTACTATATAACTCCTCAGCCAAAAGTCACGGCAAGTCATCCTTTGTGGCGAAGAATAATAATAACACATATCTGTATAAATAGCTGAGCCATTTCTCCTGAACATATTAGCTGATATTTGCCAGAATTATTAAAATGTCAGATTAAAGCAGAATTCAGCTGATCCAGAACAAAAAAAGTGGATTTTATCTGTTTTTTCTGTAGTTTTCTTTGGTAAAATGTTGTTAGAGTTGATAAATCCTAACTCGGTTTAAGTCCTTTAATATCTATGAAAATTGAAGGTTTTTACAAAGCCTTACAAAATCAGTGTGATCCTTTCAGCGGATTTCCATGACCACTGGCTAAAGTGGTTTACTACACCATTTTCTTATTCTGTAATGTAAGCATGGATTGTTGCATGGCTTGATAAAGGACATTTGATCTCTAATGCTGTATTGTGCTAATGTAAGGCAATTAGCAACCTATATGAAACTCAGAACATTAATGTCAATTGCTATAACTTAATTCCTTGGTCTTGAAATTACTCCTTTACCTAAAATAGATTTATAGTATTTGGTAATTACATTGCTGAGCAGTCTAATTTGGTAATGTCTTGTGTCACTGATTTTTCATGACAGAAGTTCTTTACTTGATCAACGTTCATACGGGATCATTGCCTGCATCGGGGACTGATGCGGATGTTTTTATCACAGTGTTTGGAGACCAGGGAGATTCCTGCAAAAGGAGACTAAGACAATCACATTTTGAAAGAGGACAGGTTTGTACTGAATTGTTTTTCTCACAAGTTTGCTTACTGTGGTTTTTTTTATGACTTTCTTCCCATACAATATTTCTTTTCAGTAACAAATGCAAGAATTGATGTAACTCCACGGTAACCTGTGGAAAAGATGTTGCTTACTAAATGTAGACATTTTAGTTGAATTGGAATTACAGTTTAAGAATAGTTCAAGTACCAGCAAACTTGAAACCCACAAAACATCAATAACTGTTCTTAGAAACTAGAATTGAACCCAATTATATATGAAGTGCCATGGTTTAGTTTTCAGTTATTGGTGAAACTGATATAGAAATATCAGGACTATTTCCTGTGACTGCTCCTTAAAAATTAAAAGATCTGCCCAGACATAGTTCTAAGAGAGATTTTAAGTATGTTAGCTACTCTATGTTAATTAATCAATTTATATATACAATTGCAAACAGGTAAAGCTCCTTGTAAACGTTCTGTGATTGCTGAAGATAAGTCCTAGGAGAGACTTTCTGGTCAACCTTTGCTGATTACCATATTAATGACTGTATCTACACAACACGTTCACACATACCCTGGACTCAGGCCGGATTATGAGTAGATGAGATTTAAAGAGACTTTTCAGTTGATCACTGTATAATAAAACAGGATCTTCTATACTTGTTTCATACCATTTCTTAAGACCTTTCATGACTGAGATAACATAACTTTCCCAGGCAACGTGTTCCACTGCTTTGCTAACCTTGCCCTTAGACAATTTGTTTTCTTGATGTCAAAATATTTTCTCAAGCATAGAAACCAGCCATGCCATCCTTGTGTTCCATATTCGTTGATAATTTTACTTCTGTGTATTTGTGTAAACTTTTTAATGTGATGAGTATTCACAGTCTCCTGTGGTAGTATGGACTGTACTGCAACCAGTTTCACCTTATTTCCCTTCTTCTTTACTAAAAGTTCCAGTGAATTATTTTTCCTCTGTCACCCTCTCTTTGCTATTTTAGTTTTTATAGATCTCTATCCTCTGCGCACTTGTTCTGTCTCTGGATTGTTCAATGTTCCTTGTGTATAAGAACATCTCCCTAATTGTCCTACTTACATTTTCCTGTACGTTTTTCTGATGCTCTAATAATATATTTGCAACCTCTTTAAAAATTTGCCATCACTTCCTCTGCTTCTCTTTTTTCTTCTTTGTCAAATTCTGTTGACTCAGCTCTTAGGTGACATTTTCAGAAAACTGTTGTTTGAAATGGACTGTGTGGAATAATGTCTAGAGCATTCACAGCCAGAAAACCTACATTAATTTCTAAGCTCAGCTACTGGTTTACCTGATGATCTGCCTGCATCTTTTTACCTTCCTTGTGTCACTCATTTATCACTGTAAAAAGAAGATAGCTAAGTGTTTAGGCAAGAATGAGAAAAGGTAAGCATATATATTTCAATACAGTTTACCTGCCTTTTCATTAACTACTGAGGAAAATTAAATAAATCTTTTAAAAAATGTTTAATGTCTCCTTTTCACAGCAATAATCTAGTCCTAGATTGATAAAAGTATTTAGTGTCCTGGTACCTAGTGAAATTACTGTGCATTGGGACGTATTTAATTGGCCATAGTCTTGCTACTCGCAGTATTTTGACATGTTATTCTTTCCTTTTTGTACAGAATCTTAGAACCCTTTTTTTTTTTTACCCTTTCTTTTTTTTTTTTTTTTTCCTCTCTCTAAAATGTCACTTTTACAGAATCCTACTACCTTAGGCCAAACTGTGCTCTTAAAATATAGGAAGAAGTTTGTGATGCTGGTTGCCTGGTTGATAAAAATACAGGTTAATTTTTTTGGCACTTTTGAGGGCAAATGTTTATAGGCCATTAGTAGACTTAATAAAAGACATAAAGGCACATAGTCTGTGACAAAACCTGGAGGTGTAAAGACAATAACTTTTATGGCAGTTTCAAGCTGGACGTTAATACAGAGTCAGTAATACAGCTCTTACTTTTAAAGAAATCAAGGCCACTATACAGAGCAATAGCAGAATGCTGAGTGTCTTCCCAAGCAGATCCTTTGTTTTAGGTGACCTGTTTTTGTACTGTCAACAATGAAAGTTTTCTTCAGCTTATTTATTTTG